TTTAACTTTGACATTTTGGATTATGCCCTGTTGACAGGCGTTAGATTAGATTACATGTTTTATTAATCACCTCCTTTACAAATATTGAAGTGATGTAAAGAAATTTGGTGGAGACAGAAACATGACCCAAATAAATACAAATGTCGCTCTGGCTGGATATATAAGTATGCAAAAAGGTTTGTCATATCATCGTCATGTTTTTCAGATATTGAACTAATGTTACATAAACATCCCCATTCTTTAGGGAGAGAAGAGCAGTGTGGACTGGAAGGACCTGAACCTAGTTCTGCCCTGTTTGGAGTACCATAACAACACCTGGACCTGGCTCGACTTTGCCATGGCTGTGAAGAGGGACAGCCGGAAAGCTCTTGTAGCACAGGTACAGAAGAACATTTATGACTTTGACTCCTTATCATATGCTCACAACTTGAAACCTTCAAGGTAAAATAGTGTGTTAATTAGGATAATACCACCAAAATGTTCCCTTTTTAAACTATATTTTGTTAGATTTCTCTCTGCTATTTAAATGCTTAAATCCTTTTCTGCGGTGTGAACTATTTAAATGTGTTTGCCATTACTAAGATTGACTAGGGTCAGAAGTAACCTTCATTTGCCGTGCCATTGATAAGTTCTGTGTTTATAAACTGTTATTTGTCCTCCGCTCTGCTCAGATGATAAAGGAGAAGCTGCGTCTGAAGCCGGCCTCAGGCTCAGACCAGCGGGGGAAGGCGTCTGAGGGGAAGTCGGACAACAGCATGCAGCAGCAGGAGGAAGACGATAAGGCTCGGCTCCTCATCGGCCTCAGCTCCGCAGACAAGAGCTCCGGCAAGAAGAGCATCTTCAGTCGGCGTAAGTGACACGACAAACATCGTGCAGCTCGACTGGAAAGTCCACGCAGCAGCTTCCACGCGCCCTCGGTAAGAGGATCAAGGACAAACTGAATATCAGTCTGGCTTTGTGTATCACAATGAAAAAGGGAGATGGTCGAGCATTTTGTTTATGGGGATAACTTACTGTGTCATGAGCCTGCTGAACATTAATTTTATTTGAAAAACATACTCCAGATGTGTCTCAGATCTGAATTTGTGGCAAACACCCCTGCAGGGAACTCAAAACAGCTCCAGTATTAACCAGGGTGCCATTTTGACCAAATATATATTATTTTCTTGTTTATTTACGTGCCATTCAAAATTATTTCTGCATTTCATACACACAATGATGACCACTTGCATTGAATGTAGCAGGGATATTTTCAGTGTGTAGCGAGCACGTCACTGTCTCCTCTGCTTCTATAAATGTTAGACTGAGAGCACCTTTTCCTGCTGGCTCAGGAACACTGTGCGTCTGCTCCAATAACTCACCCAACTGAAAGCACCTTCATCGCTGTCTGCTGTAAGAAAAATATATTTGATTTTGAAATTCCATAAATGAATATATTATATCCCTATATGTTTTATCGATTACATATATTGTAAAAGGCTGTATGAGTGTCTCTGACAGGAAGGCCTTTTACCCACAAATGACCACAAAAGATTTTATATTTTACCTTAAATGACTGTGTGCATCCTCAGCTAGCTGTTTTACTGTACCTCACCCCTGTGCAATATATCAAGAACAGAGCAGCAAAAACATGTTTATGTGTTGTATAATGTCGCACTTGGTTTGATGGTATTGTGGAAAATATATATTATGTTGCAGCTAATGCAGAGTGTATGTTTTGTAATTTTATTACTAAAGCACCTTTTTATGCAAAGTATTTTGATATTTTTGTAACCACGGTTGTCTTCTGTTTAATTACTTGTATAACTGTGCTGCTAAGCCTGTCACATTTCTATTAAAAATCATTACAAACGCATCATATCACAAAAGCAGATGTTTTCACATTTCTATCAGCTCTGTGGCTTTTTGTTTATCTGTCAATAAAAAGTGTTACAGTCTCTCAGTTGTGTTTGGGTTTTTGTGTAGTATAGAAAAATTAAAGGGGGGGGGGGGGCAGGGCTGTGCGTCGCAGGATATTTGGGAGCAGAGGGCTGAGCGATGATAGAGCTGGCAGCTTCAACTGGAGCGGAATCTAGACCCGCCGCAAACACAACACAACAACACGTGGATCAGAAAAGGATGCCAAATAAAGGACTGAACGAGTTGAGTTTTTACAGATTTGTGCGTGAGATACAGATCCCTGTATGGGCAACGACATCAGTAAGGTAGGTTCAGTGTCATCTTTCCGATACATGTGAATCATGGAAGTGGTTGTTGAGCTCTCGCTAATAAGTAGCCTATTATAACAACAACAAATGATATACAGCGATCGCATATGTGGATTACTGTTGATTTAATGTGCAACTACTGGTGGATCATATATGATGCATACAGCATGTCTAGGCTGAAGAGTCAGAAATAGAGCTGTTATCAGTAAGTGATAACCCGAGGGGCAACACACTGATTCTCTGCAGCCCTGAATGAATAGCTTCATGTGTCATTGCTGGAAACTAGCTGTCTAAAGCTCTGTCTTTCACACATTAAACATATAAAGCTTCTCCAGATTTGTTTTTATTTCATTCATATCTTTATAAAAAGATGCAGTATAGTATACAGACAGAAGGCAACTTGTTAAGTCTTAGTTTTGTTATTAGATCTTTGAAAAAAAAGTGTATGAATATATAGTGAAATCATAACTATTATACTATATATTCGCAAGAAACAGTTGTGTTAATGTAAAGAATATTCAGATCAACACAGTTCTGCATTGAAATCAGCTAAATGTATACACTAATACAAATTATGCAGATGCTTTCAGCTATGTTATTATATTTTAAATTAAATGGATATGATAACTACATAAACAAATTGTGTATCTTCATGTAGAACAAGTCAGTGCTGGTTTTAAACAACAAAAATATCAAAAGTGTACTTTTACTCCTCGCTCATGTCCTTGAAAAGAGATGTTAGTCAAACATATTTAGTAACCCATAATTTGGGGTCTAACTTAGAAATGCAAATGAAATAAATATATATACATTGTATGTTTCATAGTGCCTTGCATTTCATTATCCAGACAAAGGGACCGCCTGCTCAGCGTCGCTTCAGTCTGGGGTTCTTCTCGAACAGGAGGGTCTCCATCACCCAAAGACTCGGACACTCGGCTGTGTTTTCCCGGCCTGTTGGTCCTGATGGCAGACCCCCTGACCCCAACCCTCTGCAGCCTCCAGACCACACAGACACTCCTCCAGCTCTCATCTCTGTCTTCCTACCTGAGTTCCCACAGCGAACACTTCCTGGACCAGAGCATTTCAAGGTATCACAACAAGGATGCTCAACAGAATTGACAAAGCAAAGAATGGGAAACATTGAGATAAATGTGATGTATGTCTTTTTCACAGATCCTGGGATTCATAGCCAAAGGCTCATATGGACCCATCCTGAAAGTAAAGGACTTTTTTAAAGAAAAGACCTACGCTGTTAAGGTTAGCCATAATAATCAGTACTATAAACAAACAGCATTAGGAACATTGAATAGTTTTTGTGTAATCCTTTCTATATTGTTGCATAGGTTCTACCAAAGTCAGACATCTTGAAGCATGGAGTGCTTGAGCAGTCAAAAGAAGAAGTCATCATTCAGGTATCACAGTGTGCACTCTCAGCTGTGGACAGTGTGTACTGTGACTTTACTGTTCTTATTCTGCTGCAACAATTAGTCCATTCATGGAAATAAATGATTTAGAAATCCATTTGTAATTTTTCAAGCCAAATATTTGCTGGTTTCAGCTTATCAGATATTATGATTCATTACCCATTATCTTAGATCAATTCAACAATAACTTGTGTTTTTGTGTTTGTTTTAGGATTGTTGGTTGAATAGTTCAAACAATCTAGGGAAATTACTTTGGACATTGAGAAGTCCTGAAGGCTGTTTTTTTCCAAACTTTTTAAAACTTTACAGACTAAGAAATAATCATGAAGAAAGTATGATGAAAATAATTGTTGGTTTTGGTCCTACTTACGAACTATTGAAAAATGTAATGAGGTTACTCAAAGTACAACTTTTGCTAAAGGCAATGTTTTACTTGCATTTTTAATAACCAACAAAGAATAATATGTTTAAATGATCTCTGAATGATTCTGTTTTGGTTTGTCATCACTCTCTTCTACAGTTTATCATATTGCACAGAAGTTCCCTTTCCATCTCACTGTTATATTCACTTTCACTCCGTGTGTGTGTCGACTGTTGAATTGCAGCGGCAGCTCAAACACCCATTCATCCACAATCTGCAGGACTGCTGGCAGACACAGCGCCATCTCTTCCTTAGTGAGTTATTAAGAATAAGCGATGGCACAGTTCAACCCCTCTTCCCTTTAACTATCCTACTATTTGTGTCCCCCTCCCCAATCCCCCTCTTTGTCCCATAGTAAAATAAATCAGTACAAAGCCCAGTGCTGGATATTGAAGAGGTGTACTGCCATCTAATGAGAAAGCTGGGTAAAGCTCAGATGCTGCAATGCCTGCATGACTTTCAAGTTTTTAGCCATGATCATATATTTGTACATCCAAAGTGGTATTCAAATATGTGACCCAACCATCAGGAGACTAACAAGTCAGAAGCATGTGTGTTTCAGTCTTCATCTTCTTCCTTTTCCCCCCAGAGAGAATGTGCGATGAGCAAGGCTTTTTATTTTTCTTCCTTTTGGGTTATAAGGATACTGGCCGCTGACATAAGAAGTGTGTGTGTGTGTGTGTGTGTGTGTGTGTGTGTGTGTGTGTGTGTGTGTGTGTGTGTGTGTGTGTGTGTGTGTGTGTGTGTGTGTGTGTGTGGTGTGTGTGTGTGTGTGTGTGTGTGTGTGTGTGTGTGTGTGTGTGTGTGTGTGTGTGTGTGTGTGTGTGTGTGTGTGTGTGTGTGTGTGTGTGTGTGTGTGTGTGTGTGTGTGTGTGTGTGTGTGTGTGTGTGTGTGTGTGTGTGTGTGTGTGTGTGTGTGTGTGTGCGTGCGTGTGTGTGTGTGCGTGTGTTTTATCCTCTGCAGTGTGCGATTACTGCAGCACTGGAGACTTATACACTTGCTGGTTACTGAAGGGCCAGTTTAGGGAGGATGAGGTCCGGCTGTTTGCTGCAGAGCTGGGCAGTGCGCTTGGTTAGTGATCATCAGACTTTTATCATTAAGATGTTATCATATTGACCTTTGACATTGTAAAAGACATTGTAAAAATGTATATTTTAAACTATTTTCACTTCCTTGTTATCTTGTTTTTATGTCAAGTATCTCACCCTCTGTTATTTCTAGGATTTCTGCATGACTTAGGGATCATACATAGAGACGTAAAGGTATGATGTTTTATATGTAAGGTTATTTCTCCATTTATAATGCGTAATCATGACTTTTTATAATATTAATTATTTACTGTTTTTGACTCAGATGGAGAACATTCTTTTAAGTGATCAAGGTAATGCACGTCGTCTACATTTTTGACCTACGACGTGTAAAGACATTTAGTGTGGTCATTCATTTAGAATACATGTTGTCACTGTCACAGCAAAAAGTAAGACTAACACATGCCACTAAACAAAAAAACAATGCAAATGTCATTAGTAACAAAAATACTCATCATAAGCTTGCCCATAAAATACGTATACACATACAATTCAAGACTCTTCTTTCTAAATCATGATCTATAAATACCAGTGCATTTGTATTTCAGTGTGTTTTCAATGACCCAGGTCACCTGCGTCTGTCTGATTTTGGACTTGCACAGCGGCTAAAAAGAGGAGGAAGAGCATTCACGATATGTGGGACGATCCAATACATGGGTGAGATTTCCTTTTCTCACCTAGAGGTAAATGTCATGTTTCGAAGCTACAGTATGTAGTATCAGCATTAGAGTAACATTGTAGCAGCATCTACTCCCTTTGGGTTCAGTTGACCCAGTTATGAATGTGATGCACCTGCGCTTCGGTTCATATTGCACATCTTTGTAATATTCCCATTTATTGTCTAAGTCAGGGGTGCCCAACCAGTCGATCGCGATCGACCAGTCGATCGCGGGGAGATTCCCAGTCGATCGCGAGATGTGTCTAAAAATAGAACAACAATATTCGGTTTTATCGTTAATGTCCTATGACATAATCTTCCTGTGCCAGAATAATGCACTTGAACGCATCAAAGCTTTGTGATTGGCCGGCGTGACCCCATGTGTGGGCTGGTGGGCACTATTTCGCTGACGTTGTCCGTGTCAACAGGAGTGACAGTCCGCACACACACAAGACCGCAATTATGGCAGAAGCAAAAGAGCCCAAAATATATAATTTTCACTCCGAGTGGGAGGATGATTATTTTTGTATCTATTCCAATTCAAAGTCCATCTGTCTCATCTGCAATGCGAGCGTGGCTTTATCGAAGAAGAGTAATTTAGGAGCACAAACGCGATGAGACGGAAATCCCTCCTAATTCTGCCCTCCGCTCCCAAAAGGGGAGGGGCCTGAAAGGACAGCTAAATGCACAGCAGTCCATTTCCACCAGGCCCAACAACAAGAGCAAGGCTGCTACCATAGCATCTTATCGTGTCAGTCACGTTCTTGCGAAACACATGAAGTCTTTCAAAGACGGCGAAGTTGTGAAAGAAGCATTCCTGGAGGCTGCCGATGCGCTTTTTGGGGACAGTAAAAAATAACAGTAGCATTTCAACAGGTTTTTGATATAATAAAAACTAAAGTTAGATACCGTTATTAATCAGCTGTAAGTTTGAACTTATTCATTATAATTATTGTACAAAATGGTATAAGAATGCAAACTTAAATTGATTATAGTCTATTATCAATTCAGGTTAAGAAACTAGAGTTGCTTGCATCCTATTTTAAAGGCATTTCTTTTTATACTCTACTAAAATGCAACAAAAAAAGGGTTTGATTCTATACATTTTTTAGATAATCTTTTTTTATTGCACTTTGGCAGCAGATTCCTGTGTAGCTTCAGATCTGAGTTGTCTTATTAGTAAGCCTAATTTATATTTTTGTAGCAACACTATTTTTATATAATGGCAAAGAAAGGGTTCAGAGTATTTTCTTTTTTTCCTGTGTCATATGTGGCAGCACTGTTCAATGTTTCTTGAAAACATTACCCACTGTAGTGAGGTGTGGATAAACTCCAACTCTGTATCAACAACACTGTTGTGTAACTTCAGTTGAATACTTGTATGTGTGTAGATTAGAAAGAGGTAAGATAAAGGATCTGCAGGATTTTATGAAGTATTAATTGTACAAAGGTCAGTTTTATACAAGTAGAAGTGTGTATTTATACCTGGTAGTAGGCTGTCAGAAATGGCTACGCCTCTCTATTTGGACTGGTAGATCTCGGCAGACTGGCAACTTTAAAAGTAGCTCTCGGTTCAAAAAAGGTTGGGCACCCCTGGTCTAAGTGATGCTCATTTGTCATTGTAAGGTTTGTTTCCATAATTGTTTCCCTTTTTTGTCTGAACAGCTCCTGAAGTATTAAGTGGGGGTCCGTACAATCACGCTGCTGACTGGTGGTCTTTTGGGGTTATGCTGTTCTCACTGGTGACAGGAAAGGTGAGGGCATAACAACTCAATGTTTATTAGTTTACATGTGATTTTGTGTCAATTGTCTGAGACTTTTTTTTTCTTTTGCAGTTTCCAGTACCTGCAGAGCCGGACCACATCATCATGTTAAAAAAGGTCAAGGACTTTCCTTACATCCTACCTGAGACCTTCAGCTCTGCTCTGATCTCCCTGCTCACTGAGGTTTGTAAATGTGACTTCCATTTCTTTAATGTGAAAGAAATAATAATAATAATAATAATAGTAACCATATGTCTCAGTTAATATTCTTATTTATTTTTGCAGCTTTTGTGCAAGACTCCAGTGAACCGGCTTCGTAACCTGGAGTGTTTAAAGATGCAGGCTTTCTTTCGTGGCACTTCATTTGACTCACTCATCCTTCAGAAGACGCCTGTTAAAGTCATCCTGGAGCTGAGGACTCATCCTGATTGGCCAGCTAAAGCCTTGAGAGGCCTTTCATTAGACATATTTGATGACTTTGACTGCGATAAAATCTTTCATTCTCCTTCAACTCCCACTGAACTGTCTCCTACTTTGGCAACCATGGACCTGGCTACAAAGCAGACGACTGCTCTTAGTGAAGAAGTCAACTGGAAATAAACTATATTTTACTGACACATTTGAATTGTTGCGAGTATATAATGAAGCTGTTTGAAAGCTAAGTTATCTACATTATTTAAGATGTATCCTAACCTTTTGAAATGAATGTTTTGTAAGCAAACATGTTGTGCTCCTTGGTACAGCAAATGTCTTAGTGCATTATTGATTTCTATGTATCACATTACCTTTATTATTTATTTGAATACTTAAGTATTACCAAAAGTAGTCTGGGTATATGTGTTTCATTTTACAATCAAGTAATAATGGGATGTGTCTGTGCATATTCAGTCAATTCTAGTCTGAATGTGAATTGTGTTGGCAACTGAGCTCCAAAAAAATATGTAAACTAGTGTTTTAATAAAACAATGTACTGCAAATGTAGCCTTTATCTCCAGCAATAAAAATAATCTCAATCAAGGCTCTATTGAAATGTGTCTGCAGGATCAGTGACACCTTGGGTCGACCTATTTAAAGGAGTGCTGAAAAACCTATCGAGGACAAACTTAATAGGACAGAAAATGAAGGACCAGATAAAGTATCATCATTAAATATTTTTAATTAGGTAACAGAGGGGAAAAAATGAGGGCCCGGCGGAGGAAGTCACGTATAATTGCTGTTCTTATTGAAGTCATCTATCTATTTTAAACTTTTTAAACTGTATCTCCCTGAAAGGGGGGCTCCGGGTTCTCCTTTCGCTGCCTCCTGACACTGAATACCTCTCAGGCCCTTGTCTTAGACAGGTCCTTGTGTTGCTGCAGTCCAGTGACCCATATCTAGTTTCAGAGGCACAGTGACCCACAGTAGTGAAGGGAGGAGTCCCCTGAAACACTGCTGACTATCCCACTGAATATAACCTAATAGTAACATCATATACCAGGAACACACAACAAAAAACATGCTGTTTCCTGAACATATAGCTCATACCTCAAATTCTAAATTAGAAACATGGTGATGATACTGTTAAGCTCACAGAAATGTAGTCACATTGTTGTATTTAACATTATGAGTATGTTGTAGTATGTATGTATTTTTGAGAGGAAAACATACAAAAATTCCAACTTCAAAAATGAAAGGATTTAGCTGACCTATTTCTGTCTTTAATTTAGGACGTTTCACCACGTTAATTTACATTGAATGTAACCTGGAAATGTACTTCTTTAACAACAAAGACAACCGAGTGCTGGAATTGTTCTGAGACTGAAACCTCCCCCGTGAATTCAGGGATGAAGACCAAATTATCTTGAGACTTAAAATATTCTTCTGGGTACGATTTGACTCATTAAAATAAAAATAGCACACCATGGGGGGTTAAATGTCTTAAATTAGGTTGCTTTAGGGGTAGAGGATGCTGCTGATAGAATCAATTGTTTCCTAATACGACGTATTTGTTGAGTTGAGACACATCAGCATGTATGCAAAACTTAAATATAAAAACATAATTGTTGATACATCCAATTTACACCAGCACTGCAAGTTGGAAGCACAAAAGTAACATCAGCATAAAACCAGCATATGTCTGTATTCAAATGGAATGATTCATCAAAAATCTGCTAATTGATATAGGGCAGAGATGGGTGTACAAGCGCCGCCCAGGGGTGTGGGCTTATGAGGTTTGACATACTTGAGCTGGATACAAAATGAAGCTGACTGAGAGTCTCCGATCAGTGTTCATCACACCAGAGGAAAGGACATATTTGATTTCTGTCAGGTATGAACAGCTCATCTCTTATTTAAATGTAGGGTAATATCACTGACTTCAATGGGTACATCTGAATGTACCTGCATCACGTATGGTCTGTTAACTTGCTGCTTTAAGAATGTTGGTGTAAACCAAAATGTAATTTGTACTTGAGAGAGAATTTAAAGCCGGTTTTATATTTTATCAACAGTGCTATCAACGTGGTTAGTAAGTTTGACGATTGTCTTAACTTTTGTTTCTTGCACCAGTTTCCACTTCTTTAGCCTGTATGCTACAACAACACAGGAATGTAACACTGTAGGGATCAACTAATACTTTTTGTGGTTTTTAGTGAATGATGAGGTTTCATTTGTATGTTGGACAACTATAGGTTAAAGTTATCACTCAATTATTTATGTTATCAATCAATGATGCACTAGTTAACCCAGACAATGTTTTCTTTACCTTTTGTGAACAGCATCTATTGAAGCTGATTCTTCAGTAGGTTGTTCAGCGCTCATTGGAACCAACATGAGAAAATACCAATAGGGGCCAATATGTTGAGGGAGACATTTAACAAACAGCAATGCTGGGTTATATCCGTCTAATTTCGGTTGTGAATGTCTGATAAAACAATCTTAAGGCGACTCCAACCAAAGGCTGCAGGACAATCAGTCAGGATGACACATCAGTTCCCAACGCTTTCCGAGGCGCAGAAGAGGGAGCTACATGAGACCGCTCTACGCATAGTTTCTCCAGGGAAGGGAATTCTGGCTGCAGATGAGTCTGTAGGTCTGTAGCACATTTACTTTTTCCTAAAACGTAATTAAACATGTGTGCCATTAATATATAAAAACAATTATGTCACAAATAAAGCCCACCAAGTACCAAGAGTTCACAGTATGAATACTAACATCCCATGTGCACATCATGTTGGTTTCAGGCAGCATGGCTAAGCGGCTGGCTCAGGTGGGAGTGGAGAACACGGAGGAGAACCGCAGACAGTACCGGCAGATTCTCTTCAGCGCAGACGATCGAGTCAGCGGCTGCATTGGAGGAATCATCTTCTTCCATGAGACCCTGTACCAGAACTCTGATACAGGCATTCCCTTCGTGAAGATGATCAGGGACAGGGGCATCCTGGTTGGCATCAAGGTGTGGCAGTTTACTATCAAATATTGAATAATCCTACCCTCCTTTGTGGTATCAAGATTGCATCTGTAATAAATATGTAAGTTTGTGGCAATTTATTCTGTACGCTGAGTAAGGGTTGTGTCTAAACGGTAAACTTTTGCAAAACTCTTGCAAAATGTTTCGAGTTAGGCATTGACCTTCAATTGTTACGGTTATAATAGCTTGGCGGGGAGACTCAAAAACGTTTTAGCCAAGTTTCGCACGTCAATGTTTACCATCCACAAACAACCCTTATTTAGTTGTTTTTGTTGATGAGAATTTGACATCACTTCTCACATTTTTATTCTCAGGTAGACAAGGGTGTCGTGCCCCTGGCAGGAACCTTTGGAGAAACCACCACGCAGGGTCAGACAAAAACTACTTTGTGCACTGCTTATTTCACTCACATCACCCGTATATTACAAAACAAAAAATGTATATTTTCTACACCTCTGCCGCAGGTCTAGATGGATTGTCCGATCGCTGTGCACAATATAAAAAGGATGGAGCAGTCTTTGCAAAGTGGCGCTGTGTGCTTAAAGTCAGTGAAACTAATCCATCAACACTGGCTATCACAGAAAATGCAAATGTTCTTGCACGCTACTCCAGTATCTGCCAGCAGGTAAGTACCCAATATTATAAATAATCTCTATATGAGATGCAACTGTATTGTTTTAACAAGATGTCCATTTTCGAGCAGCATGGCATTGTGCCCATCATTGAGCCGGAGATTTTGCCTGATGGAGATCATGACCTAAAACGCAGCCAGTGCATCACTGAGAAGGTGCGTGCCTCTTTCCGTACATACTGCATGTGCATGGGTGATGTTGTTATTACTGGAGAAAGAAGTGACACAGTGAGGAGGGGGAGTACCTGTGTGTTATCTCTTTGGGAAACAATGTGTGTATTGTAGGTCCTGACTGCAGTGTACAAGGCTATGTCGGACCACCATGTGTACCTGGAAGGCACCCTCCTAAAACCCAACATGGTCACCTCTGGACACAGCTGCTCCACCAAGTACGGCCCAGAGGAGGTTGCAATGGCGACTGTCACCGCCCTGCGCCGCACTGTCCCCCCAGCAGTCACAGGTGAGCCAGAGAGAGGGTTTTACACCTATATGTTTGAAGTTTGCAAAAACCAAATGAGAGTAACATGTTCCTTTGTTCCCCGCAGGTGTGGCTTTTCTTTCCGGTGGTCAGAGTGAAGAAGAGGCTACTGTCCATCTCAATGCTATTAACAACTGCCCTCTGGCCAAACCCTGGATCCTATCGTTCTCTTTCGGCCGAGCGCTGCAGGCGTCTGCACTGAGAGCCTGGAGGGGACATAAAGAAAATGAGAAAGGAGCCACTGAGCAGTTCATCAAGAAAGCCGAGGTAAGTCCAGCTTATTTGCTGCAGATAAAACACATGGTCCTGATCTTATACGTTACACATAATTACTGAATGTTTGCTTTTGTATTGCTTATTTATTATTATGTATCTTCTCTGTCCACAGGCAAACAGTCTGGCCTCTCAGGGGAAGTACACTGGTGGTGATAATAACTACACTGATGCTGGCCAGCGCAGCTATGGTTCCTGTCATGCATACTGAGTAGCATGAGTAGCCATGTTATCATTAGCATTGTGTTTTCTTTCATTACCATAACAACTATTGTGAAGTAGATAAAAGGGTTGGTTAAAAAATGTGACACTCATGATGATGTTACATGTAAACAAGGGACAGTGTGTTTTTTTGCCTTGACAAATGATGACAAACAGAACGCAGCCTTGGGTTTCTAATGCATGTATTGAATGAAGAGTGCTAGCTTTATCACTTTACATTGTGCTCTTACTGCTTTACAAGATTACCAGTATAACAAATAATGACGAAAAACATGGCATTGTGGCTGCAGAATAATTACTACATTTCTGACATACAATTTCCCTCCTGTTCGGGGAAGTATCTTTAAGTTGTGCAAAATGTCTTTGTGAATGAGTCTGTATACTTTAGTTTTGTTAGTGAACATCCTCACAAATATAATATGCCTCCGCAGTCGATATGACATTCACAATCTTCACTTCATGGAACTCAAAATGTAATGTGATTGTGTGTGTAGTTATTTTGAATAGTATTCTCTAATTGTATAGACATTAAAGCATTCAAACAATAAAACTGTTCAGGTTCCGTGTGGGGTCGATATCTTGTTGTATTATACCATCAGCCAAATCACATGTTTCCAGTACAAGAAACAAACTAGAGAAATTAGGTATTGTATTTACCATTGATAGTTACACTTATTTTGTCATATCCTTCAAAGATATAGGATGCAGTCAGCTGTAGATCATCAGAGTTGTAGATCAAGCCAAAAGCAATCCTAAAGTGTTGTAATAACATCCCCAACATGCAGACATTATTACTTTTTTTGGAAGTGAAATATATGTTTCATAAAAATCTGTTTCCAATCTGTAAGTAAATATCCTACTATCTGTATGTATACAGATACATTAATATATTATATTCCTTATAACGACAGCAACAGGTCTCTATATTAATGTTGCAATATCAAGTGCTTTCATTAGTTTTATTTCCATATTGTTTATGTTAATGATGTTAATGAAGAGAGTGTGATGTACACAAAATCACTTGATACATTATTGGGCGTCTATTGATTACTAAAGTGTACTTTGGCAAGAAGGCAAGAGGGCAAAAGATGGTTCAAGGACTTAAAAGACCAATAGAAGGCCCAAGGTGGAAATAGAGAGCATGACATGACTGCTTTATGTTGTGAAAATTCAGCTTTTTAATTCATCTTCAGATTCCTTACAGCCACATTCAAAGTTAAACTCAGCCTTCATACAGCAGCTAACATCTGCCCCAGCCCCAACCTACAGCCTCTGCCAGCATTCTACAGAAAAATGTAGGTTGCAGACACCTGCAGCCTGAAGCTCCACCTACAGTCATCAAACTGAATCTGCACTTCCGCCTCCACCTGAAGATTATACCAGAAACCTTTCGATCCACTTGTTGTCTTTCCCAGCAACCTTCACCACCAGTTTCCATTTTACCGCTATGTTGAGACCAGGGATACACATGTAAATATAATCTTTCAGTTAACGTGAATTAATGCCTGGCCAAGCAGTTTACTTCTTCTTCTGATTTCTAAGAGGTATTTCTTACGTTGTGTGAAAGACAGAGCAAACATTCATCAAGACTACGCTACCTGACCTCGCCACCTCCTGCTTATCTCCCAAACTAAGATCGCCCCTCCCTCTCTCTGGCACCACATCACTTTAGCAGATCATTGGAGGTCTGAAGAATCTAGAGACAATCCACCTGATACTTCAGGGCCTTACATTGCCAACCATGCTCCCTAAAAACAGAGAGTTTGCTCTATTACCGTGTACTTTAAGCCTTTGCTCTGTTGCTTAATATTTGTTCATTTGCGTATCCCTGCAGATATTTTTTCATACTAATTATTTTATGATAAGTCACCCTTATTAAGGGTTTATAGGAACGATTATATCGTTTTTAATGAATGCCTCTCACTTTCTATTCGGCCATTTTGTCTGCAGTAAGAAAATGTTAAGTCATTAATTGAGGGTCTTGAGTTTAGTTGCTAGTAATTTTTTACATTTAGATTAATTATAGGCCTAACGCATTATCAATATGTATTTATCAATACAAAAATATTATCATAAATAATAATAATTTAAAATTAAGCTACAGAGCTGTGTAAAAAGTTATTTAAAATGTGCATAAAATTGATGCGTTGCTTTTATATACGGTATATATTGTATTCCCATTGTTGAAACCCAAAGTATATTTAATATTAAACTCTTCGGAATCTTTAACTTGTTAGCAAACATTTAACAGAAAATACCTTGCATTTAGGGAGAATACATAACTTTTTTGCTCCACTTTGGAAAACTTTATTCACAGGACAGTAGATTGAATAATAAGTGTCTAGGCTTCCCTGAGCCAGGTCAAAACATTTACTTAAATATTGTACTATATTCAGGAGTAGGCCTACAGCTATTTATAGGCTACATTTGAATTGTTCCTATATATTTTGCTTGGGATCGAGGTAGCATCAATTGAATTGACACTTCACATTGAAGTAACATTACAAGTGTTTTGTTTTATTTTCGGCTTAACCTGGGCTTTTATAACCAACAATGAATTTAACCCTCCTATTGTCTTCGTTTCCCCCCCCCTTACTTTGGTGTTCGCGGTCAAATTTGACCGGTCCTGTTTAAACTGTTATTACATTAACACAAAAACCATTAATCATCACCAAATTTCATTTAACACCCTTTCAAACGGTAAATATTGTATCAGACTACTGGTATACATGAACAACTGCAGTAAATAGGTGTGATCCATGTGGGGAGATGGGGACATAAGTATGGAATGCCATTTAAGCCAAAATTAAATAAATACATATATACATAAATATGCCTATGAAATAAATTCTGAAATAAATAAATGAGGCAATAAATATGTATACATGTACATTTAAATACACATTTATTTATTTCAAGAGACTTGTATTTCACAATGACACGTTTATTTATTTCAGGGGACTTGTATTTCATAATGACACATTTATTTATTTCAAGAGACATGTATTTCATAATGACACGTTTATTTATTTCAGGGGACTTGTATTTCATAATGACACATTTCCATTCCTTATATTACATGTTACTTGTTAGACGCATATTCGTTGTGGCCAAACGGCGGTACTACACTTCCTTTAGGTTGCTGGGCCCGGAAACACTTTTTCCCATTGACTTACATTGGGAAAGAGTGGTCTGTAACTCGTTAGCCCTTATTAAAAACATGCGTTCCTCAAGTTGTACAAATGTGCTAATAACGTTATTCTGAGAGTTATTTCCCTCGGCATTATGAACGCGCATCTAACCCACGGGACCGCGCTGCCCGGCAAGTTCATGTTACGTGTTCAGTACTACATGAGTTTCTCTTTACCCATGGATGCACAACAACAACGGACCATATCGCCTTACTGCCAGCCCACGGAGCTGTAATAATGGATATATTGCACATGTTTGCTGTAATTCATCATTTGTAAAATATTATACTAGCTACATGGGCTGTAAGATGTAAATCTTGTACCGTAAATGTTGTATTAAATAAAGTTAATATTACCGACGTAGATTAACGTTCCTGTTGCTTCTTATTGCATTTGCAATTGTTTTAGTTACTTGTGGGCTACTTAATATGAATAATCACAGTTACTATCCTTTTACTCCATCACATTTCAAAAAGAAATAGGCTATTGTTATTTTAACTCCACCACAGTAATCCATCATCAGCTTTACTTTTTAGATAACGTGTTAACTCACACTTGATCATAACAGGCTTCAACATATACATTTGTATATATTACCAAGTGGTTTCATGTACAACCCACACAAGTATCATGCTAAATGAAGCTCTGTTGCTTGGATATCGCTAGATCCTGATGTCAGCGTAATATAAAAGTACATAACGATTGATGTGTAATTTAGCATAATTTACTAGCTAGCCGTTAGCTGCTAACTGCCGCCTCGTTAATATAAATCCAGTTCCATGCTGTCATGAACGCGCGGTGCTGTTACGTGTACGCAAATTCACGTGCTTAATGTGAACGAGCCTTTTGGGCTGCGTGGTTAAAGTTGCGCATGCTCTATGAGTGCACATACGGGTACTTCTCAGGCATGCCGGGTAATCTGTGACGTTTCGCTCTCTCAAAAGTTGGGCCATTTTGTCATCATGCGCTAATGAGCAACTCTCATAGGAATGAATGAGGCCCCGCCTCCCACGCTGTATCCAGTTCTTATTATACATCCATGGCTGCTTCTCCTCCGCTCGCATCTCCTGTGGGCGGGACTAAGTCTCGAGGATAGGATAGGAGTCGAGGAGGGGAAATTATGAAACATCACTGTTGCCGGAAATCCATCCACGGAGGAGCCGTGGAGGAACCATCAGTGTTTCCTCGATTATAGCTCCTCGATGTGCATTTAGAGAAATTAAGATGTCCTTCAACATGGCGCGCTGAAATCCATTTCCGGGTCACTACCGGAGGACTGAGGAGTCGAGGAGGGGAAATTAGAAAATTGAGAAGTCTTTATTGTCTCCCCACTAAATATCCTGTAGATTTGCAGCGGCCAGCGGCGTGCATTGATTGTCTTCTGCACCCCGCTCGACGATTTGAAGGAGCGCTAGAAGTCTAGTTGCGGTGTGGCTCCGCCGACCGTTATTGATCTTGCAAACAGCTAACCGTTAGCCGAACTGGCGAGCTATCCGTTAGCATGTCGGATGTAGTGCGAGGCCCAGCAGGGAACAACGACTGTCGGATTTATGTGTGGGGAATCTCCCTCCTGATATTCGAACAAAGGACGTGGAAGACGTGTTCTACAAATATGGCACAATTCGAGATATCGACCTGAAGAACCGGAGAGGGGGGCCACCTTTCGCCTTTATTGAATTTGAAGACCCCAGGTAAGAAACTAACTAGACCGTGAGCTGTCACGGAGCCAGACTACTCCCTGGACTTCACTACACATTGCTATGCAAGCGACGTGTGGTCTTTGCTTTCCTAAACGTGTTTATAAGAAGTGTAGCTCATGCTCCTTTAACGAAGTCCTGCTTGTCACTGCGTCCTTAATTGTATGCACCTGTAACAATATTGGCTAGTTAACAGACACTTTACATTGTTTCTGGCTAGTAGTTGTATCAATGCACGTATTACGTTACGCAAGTTCATTAATGTATATTGCATTGTGTTCTGATAAATAACACATAACATACATGCACTAATTTAGGCACAATTATGTGCACGTCTGCAAGGTGGATTAGCAAAGGTAAACCAGATCAAGCCAGCTGATAGCATGGTTGACCCCGGCTGTAAGTGCATTTCCTCTGCCCACCCTCCACGTGTTAATGTTTAAACTGTACCTCGTTCCCAGGGACGCTGATGATGCAGTTTATGGGCGTTATGATTATGACGGCTACAGGCTGCGCGTGGAGTTCCCTCGGAGCAGCAGGGGCTCACGAGGTAGGTTTTTTTTTTTGGAGGGATCGGCGGAGCTCCCAGAGGCAGATACGGACCTCCATCAAGACGCTCTGAGTACAGGGTCATTGTTTCGGGTAAGTACTAACTTGCCAATATACATTCCTATTACATATTAATATCCATTGGCTGCTTCGTTTGGGGAATGCATCTTTCTGAAGTGCATCTTTTTTATAGTAGTGGGTGCAGCCAGTTTTAAGGTAACAAGCTTCGCAAAAAAGTTTGAAACTGTACAAGATCATGTGGATCATAATGCATGCTGTAATAACCTCATAAGTCGGGTAACTGACCAGATGACTTGGAAGTAATGAAGTTTGAGTAGACTGTGCTCTAACTTCAGATGAGACGACTTTATTGACTTAATGCACATACAGCCTTGGTAATAGATGCACGCATGCCTAGACACACTGCATATCACTCCGCACACACAACAGTAACCTCATTACAGTATATGTGCTTGGCGATATATACTACTACTTTATGGGTGAACACTTTGTTGACAGTATTTTTTCTTCCACAGACAAATACAAAAAGACCAGTTATAGTGACAAATGTAATCAGAACAATTATATGTATTCATCTTGATGTACCAAATTGAAAATTTGCCGGAAAGATAATGCAAAATAATATGTATTACCTTTGCTATAAGTTAAATTGGTATTTATTTAATATATGTATATATTATTTACATGTAAATCTATCTGTTATTGCGTATATATGTGTTATTATTATATATTGTCTGTAAAACTCAATTTCTTGTCGACACAATGTCTGTCCAAGTTTCCCAAATTCCATTGTTTTGTTTTTTTAAATGTCTTGTTTTGTCAGTCCAAAATCCAAATAAATTGATAGAAAATTGCAAATCACGCCACAATTTAACACACGATACTTGGCTTTATACTATGTTATAAAAACACGTCCGACTAATTAAATGATATCTTAAAACTAAACGTATCCTGCATTTTTAACATGTTTTCTTTTAACTACAGTTGGACTTTACATTCGAATGAATTGAAATGCTGCTGCGACACTCAATCCTGCAGCGTCTGTTTCCAGAAAAAAAGTTCTGTAGTTCTAACATATGTTGACGTTCTCACAATTAACTGTCTAAAGCTGGACAATGTGCTAACAAAGCTATGGTTGAATGTTTTAGGACTCCCGCAGAGCGGCAGCTGGCAGGACCTGAAGGACCACATGCGTGAAGCAGGCGACGTGTGCTACGCCGACGTCTTCAGAGATGGAAGCGGAGTTGTAGAGTTTGTGCGAAAAGAAGACATGACCTATGCTGTTCGAAAGCTGGACAACACCAAATTCCGCTCGCATGAGGTATGTGTACTGATTTGATCAACTGTCATGGATAATGTTTCTTTGCTGTGTCCAGGTGAGTACTTGTGAGGAAATGCTATATGTTCCAAGTACCTCTGGCCCTCATTTCTATCCATGGTATTTCCACCATAGGAAGGAATGTTGCCTTTTCAATGTCAAGTTCTCTTGTGTCTGCCAGGGAGAGACTGCTTACATTCGTGTGAAATTAGACGGTCCCCACAGCCCAAGTTACGGAAGATCACGCTCCCGCAGCCGGAGCAGGAGCCGCAGCAGAAGCAATTCCCGGGGCCGAGGCAGAGGATCGCCCCGCTACTCGCCTCAACACAGTCGCTCTCGCTCCCGTTCTTAAACCTTTCTACCACCAATGTTTTTGCTCTTTTGATTTACACCTTCTTGTTTTTACCTCCTCTGAGTTTCCCCAGAAGTCAGCACTTGATTTTATTATTTCTGCTTTCCATGTCCCAATATCCTTATGTTTTCTCCCACCCTCTCCAGTGGCTTTGTCCTTTTGTTTTTCTCACCCGTCTTTCTGTCCTTTCAATATTTAGAAAAAAATAGGAATTGTGCTGAGTTGTCATAAGCTGCACTCAATGTTTTTGCAAGTATTTTTAGTGAGTTTTTTTTAGTTTTGTTAATAAAAAAAATTAAACATCCTCTCTCTCATTTGGATATGTGGGGTGGGCTTTTTCCAGCCCAATGCTTAACTGTATTTTACTCTTGTGTCTTCCTTTAGACTCTGAAGAGAAGGATTAAAGTGATTTGTATAAAACCCATTGTGGAGCACATTTCAATTGTATGGTCAGGATAGGACATCTAATTGAGGAGCAATCAGGTCGAGGCAATGGTACGCTTCATATTCCATAAATTGAACGTTTTGGTTATCATATCATGCATGTCATATTTACATGTCCCATGTGCTGTAATTTCTCATATATACAATTGTAAACATGCTACTCTGTCTTGTGACAGAATAAACAGTCCTAGATCAAGTGTTGTGATGTAAGTGTAACATCTTTGCTGTCAAATGTAAGAACATTTGATCACTGTTTTGTTCCCACTTATAACTTTGAATGTCCTTATTGGTAAAACATGTGTTTTACTTCAGGGAGTGATAGTTGTTGTGCTCAGTGGCATTCTTTTTTCTTGATTGACATAAGTGCTCAAAAATGAAAAAATTAGGCCCAAAATTCTTGACATTTTATTCTAACAGTCTCCCTCTGATTTTCTTCCTGGTATTTCAAGGTTTTGATTGGAGGAGTGGCTCAGTGGATCCCAATCATTGGAGCTGGATGAGTGGATCGATTAGGAAAGGGATAGGCAAGGATGGATGCTCGGAACGGGATCAGTTTTTCCAGGATTCAAATGAGTTTGATTTCAGAACTAAATAACAGGAGTCCCAGTGCAACTTTTTTTTCTATTAGGCCCCCCAATGCCTATTTTAAGTTTTTCAGTGGTAATGGCTTTATTTTACAAGAAAACGAAACAGAGGACCAGGAAGTTGGATCAAAGGATGGAGTCGTAGATGCCTGGTATGAGGGAATGCAAAATTCGTGAGGTTGGGTGGGGGTTTCTGTGGGAGTAGTTTGTATGTTTTAATCTTGCTTTTTCTCTTAGCGTTTTCAATAAAACACTTTCAAACAAGGACCTTTTTAGTCTGTATTTGTATCAACAACTCAAATATTAATTCATGTGATCCGTCTAAATGAGTTAAATGCTATTTTTTTCCTCCTAAAAGTAAATTAGCCTGGTACATGGCATTTAACTAATTTCTAACCACAAAATTCCTTTTAAGAATGAATTAAAAAGATATTTCTAAAACTATAAAGGAGCAGGAAATAAGGCTGATTAAAAATGATGCTAATTTAAACGCCACCAACACAATAGCAGTGCATATGTTTAGTGTTCAAAGCTCCAGAGTCTCAGCTGTGACGACAACCGATGAAAAAGCCTTTACACACAGCCAAACGATACCTACCCACGGCCAAGGTCTCGTTTCCTTTTAGACAACAGTCAGTGGTGTATACTGTGAATGATGCATTGTGGGATGAAATAAGATGCCGGCAGACAGGAGCTGGAGAAAAACGCTTGCAACACACGGGGAGGCTGCAGCTCAGCCAATGACAGGGGGCAGCATGCAGCAGAGGGGCGGGGAGCTGCTGGATCACAGCACAGAGAGCCAACCTGCCTACATGCTTATTGTGAAAATCTTTAAAAAGCAATTAACCGCAGCATCATCTGAACCTTCCCCCCTGGCTGGGTGAAATACATATTTTTTGGAAAGAAGTGTTTCCCTTCGCTACAACAAAAGGTGAGTTGCAGATTCTGTAATGTGAAAAATATTGACTTGCATGTCTTGACATATTTCTGTTGCGAGTTTCTCTTATGATGGTGAGCTTTCTACTGTATGCCTTGTTGTATTTCGACTGTTTAGTCATGTGGACTGTACTGGAAGGGATAGCAGCAAGCTTAGTACTGCGAGCATATCATTAATAAGATACATTCTGATACTAATGGTCTCCTGATGCAGAAGCTGCTTTTATCTGAAAGTGATTTTGCCAAGTAATTTAACTCCACCTGTATCAAGTTTCGCAGCCAATCTATGCAACTGTCAAATCATCCCTTTAGATACGATTAGCGTATAACACATGACCTTAAGTAAGGACTGTGAATCAGTGCACATGATAGAAAACTCTGTGCCAAACGGGCAATCTTCTGCGTATGATTGATGTTTTTGGAAGGTCCTTCTGGCTGGCCTAAACATCCTCATCACTACGTGCGGTGTTCATTTTCAGTGCAGTGATCGTGCTCCTTTTTCTCCCCAGGCAGGCGATATCATCATACACAACCATGACTGACAGAAAAGCTGTGATCAAGAACGCAGACATGTCCGAGGACATGCAGCAGGACGCGGTGGACTGTGCCACCCAGGCCATGGAGAAGTACAACATAGAGAAAGACATCGCAGCCTACATCAAGAAGGTGAGACGGACTGGCAGCATGGATAGAGTCTCGGCATGCTTACATCATTGGCACATGATGTGCAAATTCAAAGCCTTTTTTATTCTTGGATCTATTTTTGGTTACATGGGGAGACAAGGCTCTTATGATCAGGGCCGTAGCCACTAGTTTCTTCTTTCAGATGTCACAAGTCCACAAGCCCCCCCTCCCAATCTACCAACACAACATTTTGATACCATACAGAAGAATATTTGATGTTCTCTTATTTTTCAACTTTAAATGTATCTTTACTTTATCTAGCTGCAATCAAACAGGCCATCACTATCCAAAGTGCTTCACAGATGATTGGAAAGCTATACAGTCAAACGTAACACATTTATGAACTTGAAATATAAAAGATAGAATAGACGCTGAAATTGTAATCGTAGTTGTCAGTTTATCATTTTTTTGACGATGTAAGGGCCTGTTTCACTGATCTTCTTCTTTTGACATGTTTTAGGAGTTTGACAAGAAGTATAACCCCACCTGGCACTGCATCGTCGGGAGGAACTTCGGCAGCTACGTCACCCACGAGACAAAGCATTTTATTTACTTCTACTTGGGCCAAGTAGCCATCTTGCTCTTCAAGTCTGGCTGAGACGTTTCTGATGTTTGTTGAGGAGTTTTGCTCCCTGAACCTAAATCGGAAAGCACTAGTGGCTGATGTCTGCCATACACTAATAACGACATACCATAATGACGCAGACCCGGCCGTGCGCAATTGCATGGACTATACCCTATTTAATATGTATGTTTCAGTAAGTTTAATTTTTGATAGTTGCCATTTGAATGCAACTGAAGTAGTTTTTGTTGATGCTGTTCAATTCTAGGTTGTAAAATATGTCAACGTGGCCCTTGATTGTATAATAAAGGAAAGCTGTAGAATGTAGTGATGCATTTGCTTTCCTTCACAAGTGGCATTGTCAGACCCAGACTCCATCTCTCGATTTAGATGGTAAAAATAATACTGCGTGCACCGGTTTAACAATTCATTATCAACATTTAAACGTGTGATCATGAAAAGAGGTTGGTTAATGAGACTAAATAGTCTTCTAACATGTGTTAATTCATGACCTTCCTTTGGTTTCAACGTGAACAACAGCATTAGATCAGTTTATGACTGATATGTTAATTATGCTGTCTGTAGATGGGAATACAACATCTTACTGTTTCATTATGGGTTTAAAATAATAATAATAATGCCCACTGGCTTTCAGAAAAAAATAGATGTTGCAACATCTAACATACTTTACATTTTGGAGCCAACACAAGCCAGTGCACACATTTCCAGTTTGTCAATTTCACTGTGAGGGACAATGGAGCATATAATGCTCAAAAACACAGACTTTAAGCTTGTAAGTTTGACTAATTATGCTACAGACTGGTTACCAAACTCTACAAGTCAACAATCTGCATGTTTGGAGGTTACACACCACCATTTATTTAACTGTCAGTAGACATCAGACACAAACAAAAGCTCATCTTTAATTGTTGAATATGTAGATTTTGGACTGAGCCGATGTAAAGAAGGTGATTTAGAACTTCTGCAGTCAACTGTACCAAGGCTCCCAGCACCCCTGTGTTTCAGATTGTTGTATCGTTCTGTGTGGCTCGTTGTTACTTTAAGTTGTATTAACCCCAATCTATATTTTGCATTGCCAGTGTTCTGCCACACATGCAAGAAAGACGAAGCCTTTAGGAGTTCTTCTTAAAGCAATTGCGCATCCCTTATCTAGCACAACAATTTGGGTAATTTTATTTTGTTGGCATTATACGTTTGAAAGGCAATGCGTAATGTTAGGAATCTTCACGAGGGCAGATTAAAGGGATTTAACCTCTGGCTGGATAACACCACACATTTCTCGTGTGTAAATACTGAATGTTTTTATTTGCTCTCTCCCATAATCCAACAATGGGTAAATGTGTATCTCTCAAGTGTTGGCTTGGATTGACATTGAGGGAAGTCTTCCTAACTATTGTCAATGTAAACTGATTAAGTATTGTTTTCCTCTGGCATGTTTTTTTGCTGTGTATATGTAGGAGCCGTTCCAATGCTGTTCGATTTGCACAAAACGTGTGCCTGTCATTGCTCTCAACTGTAACTCGCTTGAGTACAATTGCACTTCATTAGAGTTATCCAGTAGGTTGCTACAGAACCAAAATCGTACAAACTCGATAAAATAAAATAAATATTGTTGACTTAATACACTGTGGCCTTTTATTTTGTCGTTGCCCCTTGCTGAAATCAATAGTTTATTGGATGATAGGTTGGTCCAAAGATTAAAAAAATATATGTTTATGTTTTTGATTCATTTGTTTGTATGGGAAAAACAAGATGTAGTGAACTTTAGCAGTGCGGCAGTAGGCAGATTTTGTTACAGTTCGACAGAGACTGGCTAGCTGTTTCCTCCGGTTTTAATTCCTGTGCTAAACTAGGCTAACAAGCAACTGGCGTTAGCCGTATATAGCTTTCGAAAAGCAAAAATAGTGACAATGACTGATTCTGGTTTTTAGAAGTAGTTTTAACTGCTATATTTCATACAAAACAAGTCATGTTAAATAACATTGAACCTCATACTGTGATGGTCATTTCCTAAAACCTTAACTAATCAAATGAAAATAAGATGCTTGATCAAAATAATATTTGGAACGATAAAATAATTGTTACTTGCATCAGCAGTGGTCTCTTTTTAATGTATTGTTTGCATAACATACCTTATTAAGACACTTAAAATACATTATATAATTAAAGCCGGAATAATTCTTGATAGTACCTTACATTTAAAGATGATAGCCTAGTCTAATTGGCTTTCTGAAGCTCACTGGGACTGCACAATCAAACTGACCTTGAGTAATATCCTTTCAAAGAAAATGGCAAATAAAACACAACTCAATAAACAACAGAATGGTACATCAGGCCCATATAGTGACAGTGAAATTGATAGTAAGAGAAAAACATAGGACTTATGTTTTAGCATTCATATGTTAACCTGTTAAAGCTGAAAGCAACACAGTATGTCCCTAATTTTGGATTCATTGTGTTTTTATTACTGAGGCTCAAGTAGTCGGTGTGAAAAACAGCCCATAGCAACATGTGGTGAGACCTTGTTTGTTTGTTTGTAGCCTTTATTTAACCAGGTGAAAGCCCCTTGAGATCAAAAGATCTCTTTTTCAAGGGTGACCTGCAGCCGCTGTAATGTTGTGCTAGTTGCCCAAATGGATCGCTAAGACACTTGACAGCTCAAAAACTCTGTGACTAATGCTGCGTTCATATGGAATCAGGTTTGTGTTATTTAGATCAAGCAAAAACCTGATTCCATATGTTTAAGGTTTACTTCATTTGGATCACATATTTCTTAGTCATTTAGACACTTCATGGACTTTAATGTAAATGTTTTTCATTGTGCAGTGTGGTACCCAGTTTGTGAAATTTGAAGTAAATAACCAAGATCCTTGCAGAATCATTTAGTTTATCTTTAGTCTCCTTCATGAAGAGACGCACACTTCCTTCTGTGCAGTGATATGTTAGAAAGAAAACAGTTCCTACATGATATTGCAAATAATAAGTTTGGTGAATTGTCTTGAGTAACCAGGCCATGATTTCTAGAAAGAGACATTGCTGTTGAGTGTGTCTAATGTTTTTGCAGGAAAGGCAGACATCTCTGCACCCAATATCAACTTTCACCTAAATAATCTAGATTAATAAATAGCACTATAGGTCAGAGGAAAAATATGTGTTTTTGCTTCATCCAGATCAATCAATGATGTTATTGCGCCACAGTTGTAGCAACCAGATCCTTGTAGAGTGTCCCTGTTTTTGTTCTCCTCTTAATGCTACACAAACGTGTGCCATCCAAAAATGTGCCTCCTAAAGCCTGTTTGAATACTACACCAGCTGATTTTACTGATGAACAAACCCTCAGTCAATGTGAGCTCAGTACACAGAGCGCTGCTATTCTAATGGCATGAAAACTTGAGTAGACATGACTGCAGACGACTCACAGGAACAGAAGTTGGACCTCAGTTTCATTACAATGATTATGTGTCCAGATCAGGGCTGATGTAATGGTATGCATTTCAATGTAATTTAATCATAGAAAAATTACAAATATGTTGAAAACCTACAATATAACCAACTTCTAAGATATTGTTCTGTTTCAGTGACGTGTCATTGACGTGGCTTGAGAAATGCAATGCGAGTATAGTGATGATAGTTTGTGCTTAAGTTACCTGATGTCTGTAAATCTGTAGAAACAAGAGCATGCAGAGCCAGCAGAGCTGAGAAAGCAGACAAATTAAAGGACAAGTCACTGATGAATAATTTCTAGAGACAGACTGAGGTCAAACTGGGTGAAATTAGACACCCTGTTGAGGTAACTGGAAGTATTTGACTAAATATAAAAAAAAACAATTTTGCATTTTCTACATCCACATGATTTTAAAACTAAAAAGTTCTTAACACGTCATGTGCTGGGATTTAGAAAGCTCCCTTAAGTGAGTGAAATGAATAAGGTCATCAGAAATAATGTCTCATGTGTTTATTCACTCATTGTACAACAGAGGTGCGTCAGAGGTGCGTCTGCTTTTCATTGAATCTTCACTGATGTGTTACACTCCTGTTCTCCCATCAGCGCCTCCTCCCCCTCCACCTGCTTGCCTCTCTGTCGTACTGTAGCTTCTGGCGGCCTTCATCCATCCTCCCACACGGAGCTGTAATTCATGGTCAGAGCATCTTCATATTTACACCACAAGGATAATTGCATGGCCAATAATTATGAGTTGTAAAACACTAAGTTTGCACATTTGATGATGGTGCCTGAATTGTTGCCTTAAAACCCACAAGTGACAAAGATAAATCAGATTGTATTAAGATCCAAGGTTTTAGCATTAAAATCCAAAGATTTATTGCAACATGTTTTTTTCCCTTTTGCTAATGGCTCTATAGCTCCTCACATGTTCTGTTGGGGAAAAAAAACATTTAAATGACCTGAATTGCACCAAACTGAGTGTTGTTTGTTTGGCTCAGGCCTGCTTTGTTTTCAGGCCTGCTCTTTCACTCTCATTGATGCAGGGAAGGTTTGTCTATGCAGATGCCTCATAGACTGTGAGATGACCAGTGGGCGGACTCAACACTGGCAGAACAAGGAGGCAAGTGAGTCATACTCTAACATTAGGGATGTTGATAAAAAAACAGGGCCACATTAATATGGTAATTAAATCAACTGGACACATGGACCATCAGAATGGCACGGTGTGTAGGCTGAAGTGCATGCTGCTGTTCCCTGGAGGAAACTACTTTGGCGTCATTGCAAGAACATTCTTCGTGCTTTACACTGAAGACCTCTGTGTGTTCAGAGGTTGAGAAATGACATCACAAGCTATGTGTAATGTATTTTTCCAAGGACAAATGTACATACAACACAGATTTGTATCCCCCTAGAATAGATTATCTCTTCTTTGTGAATTGTTCAATGTTGACTTTTATGTAAATTGCAGAAAATTGAGAAAGAAATGCCTTAGAAATACTAGTTGCAAAAAATGCACTCATACACAGAAATTAACGCTAATTTAAATACAAAATTAATCGTCACTGATGTTCATAACATTTTAGTTTTCATTTATTTTTAGAGAACAATGAGATCTTTTTGGACGACTTAAGAGCTACAGCCCCTTATCTTTTAAAGCAGAACATGTAAATCCAATACTTAATGTATATTATATAACCTTATATAGATACACTGTTTTATAGGATGAGTCATCTACTTGTTTAAGACCTTTGCTGTATTAACATATCAAAACTAAAGCACTGCATGAAAACAGTAAAGATATGAGGCACCAGGCGCCATGCTCATTGATGAGGAAACATTTTCTTCTCCTTACATAATATATTGTAAAGAACTGCATTACAAACGTTAAACATATTACATAACTGTTCACCAGTGACACAGTCTAGCCCGTATAGTAATTCATATTATACGAGGAGCTTTGTGCTGCCTCTGATATGTTCCTGACAGATAGACACACAGATAGATTGTATTAACTTGATTGGAATTAATTTGTTGGAAGTATACTGTCAAGCTCAATTACTCTTTGGATCATATCAGAGATGCTCGTTGTGTCTTCAGTTTGCTTTTCTGCACTTCCTGATTTTAACCACAAGAGGGAAACCTTTCTCTATATGACATTTTTGTATTTCTTTCGCTCTTCCTTTTTGTTTGTGAAGTGAATGAAGGTGCCTTTAGTGTTCACTGAAGGCCCCTACAACTCTACAGTGCCTTCTAAAGCAGTCAGGCTTTTAAATAGAATTACAGCTCCAGGAAATCATAGTTATAAAATGACAATAGGTTCAACATTCTGGAAATAACACTGAATGCTTGATTAAAGGAAGTAAGATTAAAACAACCTATTGCCATATATTGTCAAAAATGTAATGACATAGTAGACACAACGGGGAGGGACCACAGATACACACTCCCACAATCAAAATATAGTAACAACACATCAAATGCAATTGTCTGATACCATGGTTCATGCCCATAAAGTGCAAGTGCTTGTAAATACCGCCAGTGAAGAATTTATGATGCAGTTATTAATTGTGGAAGAACACAATTGAAACACAAATGAGAAATTAACAAAGCTTTGATTTAGTTTAAGAACAACAACTTTTGTTTTTGTGGCATCAGTAATGAGGTCATAACATAACATTTTATGCATAGAAAGGTCCATTTGATGAGTGAGAAATAAGAACGAAGGGATATTCACATTACAATAAAGTACTGTTTGTTGGGAATGTAGAAAATTGTACATAGCACATTGTAATAACTTAATCAAAACAGGGAATCAAGTTAAACTGATTTCACAATTCAAATTACAGATATTTTACCATTTACATCAAGCTTGAATGACTATACCACTAAATGATTGTAGTATTTACATACAAATCCAATAATGAAGTCCAGCAGGAAGTTTTGCCAAAAAAAAGTGGAATTTTCCAACACTAAAGGGAAGCTATGCTATTAATCATTACTGATTGATTTGACTGGTCAAAAGTTCTGGATAATGTAGCTGATTCATTTTTTTGTACTTCTCACTTTGCTCAGAACATGGTTGCTCTGTGGCAGTTTGCATGCAGACAGTTGCTGTTTTGTCCTTGCATAGGGCACCCAGAGGTGATTTGGTTCATAAATGATGGTCCCCGGTCTGC